TTACAAATCCCACACCACATCCCACAGCAACACAGAGACACTTTTCCCACAACTTCATTCAGTGCAGCCACTTCATTGAACCTCAAAAAGCCCAGCAACAAGCGTCCATCAAGCAAGATATCCAAAGAAGGCTTGGCGCTTCTTTATGACGGCAGTGCACATGGATATTGTGCCCACCCATCATGCCTTACATTACAATGTAATTTTATTCACTTGTAAACACTGCCACTAATTGTTATTGGACAGGCACACTTAAGAAAAAGCCTTTTTTAAAAAAAAACTTTTTTAAGGTTTGTTTTTTTGGCTTACTTTGCCTTTATATAGACTCAGGAAAGTTTAGAGTCCGAAATCGGTGGAAGAGAGAGAGTTGGCAATGAAATGCAGGAAAAGAGCCACAGATCGGTTTCAAACCCGGGCCGTCCGCTTCAAAGGACTGTAGCATTTGTACATGTGGCGCGTGCTAACCAGTCAAAATATAAAATTATATTTAAGCAATATTCACCCGTGAGGTCCAGAGTAACATTTCAAGATTTAAAAAGGTGACCCTGATGAAGGCCACGAGCCGAAATGCGTCGGTCTAAATTGTTAATAAAGTTGATAGTCTTACTACAAGTGTTGCTGGAGCATTTTGACCTCTTCTCAGATTTAAAAAGCAAAAATTAAAGCCTGAGTTGCTTGTAATAGGTGAAAAAAAACCTGCTAATGGGGATTTTAAGTGGGATGTATGAAGTCATTTTTTAAAGTACACATAACAAGCAACATCTTCTTACCCCAATGGCAGAATCTTGTTTTAATTATAACAAGCAATGTTATAATGGCCTTATTTCTAACTTAAAATAAGTTATATTATATTATATGTATATTATATTATATATCTTGTCAGAGGAATGTGTCTTGAATTAAGTTTAATAAGATTCTTTTAGACAAATACACTCGGTAAGATGTGAATGTTTGTAGGATCAAAAATAATAACCCAGGTTGACAATCAATCATTTAAGGGTTACATTTTTCCCCCGTTAAATGATCTTTACTTATGTAATTTTTACTTGGTCTATTTTTCTCTTGTTTCTTCACTTTTATTCTCGTCATGGTAACAAGAAAGTCACAAGCAGAGTCAGATGTCCATTTGTCTTCACACACATACACACACACACACACGAATACACATACTTCTTCTAGCCTGCAGTCTCAGAGGACCTACCATGTGTGTGCGTGTATATGTGTGTATGATAATGAAAGCGTGTGTGTGTGTGTGTGTGTGTGTGTGTGTTTGTGTGTGTGTCTGATAATGAAAGCTGCTGACTAGCAGATGTGATTGGCTACCTCTGCGTCCTCTAGAGATGGCCGTCTGGATGGTGCCAGCTAGACGCCAGACAGGCGGCACACAGTGTGTAAATGTGTGTGTGAGTTTTGTGGCTGTGATTCCTTTTTGTGTGCATGTTTTTTATGATTACATGGACACCCCTTTGGCAGGTGTTGTGTGGGTGTACATGTGTACCTGCCTGAGCCTGGATATCCATGTGTGATTGTGAATGTCCCCATCTGCAGTGTTTACATGTCTGTTTTTTATTTTTGTATGTAACACTGATAGTGTGCCACGTCCTGCTGTTATCATACATACAATAAATCAGTCCTGTTTTTGTGTGAGTGTCCCCAAGGATGTCGGTTTTTCATCCTTTATTTCTCGACTCTCAGTGGGTCTATTTTGGTCTGAGTCTCTATCTCCCTCTATCTGTGTGTCTCTCTTATGTATCTACCTTTATGTAAACACTACAGCGATGCTATGGAGTGTGGAAGTTGTAAAAGTCAATCATTTATAGTTAGCAGGTGGTATAAACCCAGACACAACTTTAAAGTAGGTCTACCAACAAGGAAATTAGATTTTCAATGATTTTAAAAATGAAGGTAGTCCTTTCTTGTCCTGTTTTTATTTGTTTTTTTTTCTTAAGGTTCCTTTAGAATTGAAATGAAGTACTCAAAAGAACATCACTTACACATGTAGACAGAGGAAGTAAGGAATGAAGGAATAAGGAAGGAAGTAAGGGAGGGACAGGAAAGGGAAGGAAGGAAAGGAAAGGAAGGGGGAAGGAAGGGTTTAGCTTATTAGGGATTCTGCTGCTTAGGGCATCCCCACTCTCGATTTCTAAACAACAAATATTAGTGATTAAATCCAATTATATTGTAATGACTACCAGCGGAGAATCTGCTTAACAAGGCAACATGACTAACTTCAGCTTTGATGGTTGATGACGTGTGCATTCATGACATTGACTGAAGAAACACAGATTTGAGTGGGTAAAGTGACAGAAAACTGTATGTGGAAGTTACACAAGAACAGTCGGGACAATGGGGAGACGCTCTACAGATTAAAGGGTAAAAAGTTAACTTACCTTTTCATCTTGAAGTGTTGATTTATATGTATTGCATGACGCTACGTTATTAGTGTAGTTTCTGATTAGCTAGTGTGCCATGTCAGCATTTTATATGTGATACAAACAGACAGAAGCAGGAGATAAGAATCTAGCAGTGTAGAAACAACACTCCATAAACTACATCTTTAAATTTGAACATCTCAACTCATAATTATCATGATGGTAAACAACAACTTTTTGGGTTTTAAAACAAATATTTCCCAACGTTCAAAATATAAACTTCAGTGTTGTATAAAACAGCATATAAAAGAACTCCTTCCTCAAAAAATAAATTCCTTCCTCCAGACATCCTGGCGAAGCACCTCAATTCTCAAACCAAATCCTAATGTTTAAAAAAGAGCCAGTGTTCTGTCGAGATGTGCTGCCTTGTCGAAAAAGGCAACCATAGCACGAAACGGGAGGAGAGGCTATCTGCATCCACCATCAAATAATGCTACTGGAACAATGCAACTTTATATGAATTCACTACTCACTCAATATGCATTATCATATAGGTATATAGAGTACAGGGGGCATGTTTTGGTACTCTACTGTATAATTTAAGCCTTTAGGGGAAGCGTGTCTCAATGGACAACTATCCCCTATATAGTACTCATCACTTTAAAACACCATTACTGGCTGTATTTTCACTGTAAGGAAACAAGAAGCATGTTTTATACTCTAAAAACCTTTATTTAAGATTTTAGAGGAAGCATTACTTCATAGACAAAAAGCCCCTTTACTGCACAGAGCAGCATGGTATCACATCTGGATGGGTAGCACTATTCGATAGAACACCGGCTTTGTAACGTTGGGAAAGCATGTAGCATTTGATGTCTTTGAAGCTGGAAACCAGAGTTTGTGTCCCATCACAGACACAAAATTAATGTTTGTCTTCTTAATAATACAGCAGTATAAACCTCACCGATCCATAACCATAATTTACGTGTCATAACCATAGTCTGTCCTTGACCTTAACCACAATGTAGAAGATGCAAATTGCAGACATTGCATGATTTTTTTTCATACAGCAGATTCCTGTGTCTTACAGAATCAGGCAGTACTTTTGTTTCTGGCTGGAAAAGAGGTTTGAGTTGTGAACAGACCACAGCATCACATTGACAAATGAACAGAAACCATAACAGTGAGGATGTTGATGGATGTCTTTTTTAATGCCGAATGGGGAAATATTGAACTTCTTTCTTGGGAAGAAAAACCTTTGGAACTGAGAAACATTCATGTTTGAAAACTGAAATAAATCTTTTAACCCAACCGAGCACTTTGAGGTGATGTTTTGGCTCTCAAGGTATTTTTTAAAAACTTTTAGTGTGAAGAAATCAAACAATATGCCGGAGTACAAGGGCAACATTAAAGAAAATAAATATTTAGATTAAAGTCCTGAATTTACAAGGATAAAGTAATTTATGAGAGTAAAGCCGTTTAAATTATGTTTAAAATGATCAGAAGAGCAGCTATTGGTCTCCACGAAAATGATAAAAAGGGAGAACCTCAAATCCATTTCCTCTGCCACAAAAAAGACAATTTCCTCCAAGTCGGTGTGGTTCCTTCTTCAGAAAAGCCCAAGTTTGTTGCGGTATCTTTTCAGGGTCCTGATACTGATATGACAATGTAATGATGATGTGCCAAAACAAAAAGTATTTCCTTATTTGTAATGGTAAATGGACTTGAGCTTGAGTCTTCAGACTACTCAAAGCACTTTTACACCACATGTCACACCTACCCATTCTTACCAATAATCCCATTCATACACATTCATATGCCACTGATAACGCAGCAGGAGCAACTTGGGGTTAAGTGCCTTGCCCAAGGACACATCAGACATGATGCTGGAGCTGAGGATCGAACCCTCGACCTTCTGGTTGAGAGACAACCGACTCTACCAACTGAGCCACAGCTGCTCCACGTTCCTAATTTTTCCTACAGGCAACTGCTGCTCTCCTGATAGAAAATTATAAATGTATGACTTTCTTCTTATAAGTTTCTGAGTTTATTCTTGTAAATGTGTGGCTTTGAGCTCAGATTATTTTCCCCTGAATGTTGCCCTTATACTTCTTTGTACTTACACAAACTTCTCCTAAACAGATATTAATGCTTCTGTGCTGCATCAGTCCTTAATGCAACATAACATTTGACATGTAGCAAAGCAGCTCAAGGACATCAAGCCTGATTACTGAGTGAAACCTGAACTTTGAACACCTTAATAAATAATGACTTTTTGAACAAAGTGAGGAGAAAATAGAGGTTAAGATTGAAAACACTTGTCTGTGTTTAAATTTGAACGAGTGTTGGTGCTATAAACAACCTTTAAACTAAAATTAAACACAAGTCCAAAGTGCAGTTTCTTATCCCTGATCCTTATCACAGCTAGATCAGCTGAAACATTCTGCTGGCTCACTAAAAAAAAAACCCATACAGAAACACAAATCCACACACAGCACTGTGTGTTTGAGGATAGAGCATGTTGAACCATAACAAGAGAATGACACTGCAGCGGGGTGACACAGCGAGGGAGTGACTTTACCTCTGGACTGTGTGGCAGAGGGAGTGGCGCTGAGAGAAAGAGGAGGGTGTGTGTGTCTGTGTGTGTGTGTGTGACAGAGAGAGCTTTGCTTTCACGCCTTGCCGAGCACTGAAAGAGTATCTGTCACACAGAACAAGCCAGAAGACAGAGCGTAAAAGTTAGGCAAAAAGAAAGAGACAAGGGGGGGAAAAGACAGAGGAAGAGAAAGAAAAGAGGAGGAAGAAGAGATAGAGAAAGAGTTTGCTGAAAGCAGCTTCTGTCTACCGTCCCACCCCCTGACTGTCTTCCCCTCCTCTCTGCCCCGGCCGGGAGCGAAAGGAAAAAAAAAAGAAAAGGAGTGCAGAGTGTGTGAGAGAGAGAGAGAGAGAGAGAGAGAGAGCTGAACCACGCTCGCTCTTTAGCGCAGGACTCAGGAATTCCGGGACCTTTGGAGTTGTGCGCACACACACGCACACACATACACACACATGCTGCTTTTTCTCGTGGTGATACAAATCTCAACAGGATTCAGGGAGGGAGTATAAGCAGGAGAGAGGGAGAGAGAAATTAGAGAATAGCCCTTTCCAGCCCTTTCCTGTGGACTATTTGACCATGATGGCACCTGCCAAGGGGGACGTGTAAGGAGGGGCTGAGGCAGAGGAAGCTGCTGATGAAGGTGAGGTTCTTTTATTATATCATTAAATCCCATGTCTCTAATATTATTGTACGTCTTTCCTGTTATGTCCATTTCCATATTACTGAAGATATTTTATCTTAGCTCTTAATTTACAGAGAAACTCCTGTAGAAAGTAGTTTTTCTTACAAGTATACATGTTGATCTTTGCCATGCTTTTTCTGTTTTATTGATTGATTCAGTTTGTCTTAATAACTGTCCCAAAAAAGTGTTAAGATTTAAGTTATATGAGGAATACTGGAGGTGGGGAAAACCCTGTGTAGGTGTTTGTGTTGGACTAATGCTGCTCTGTTGAAGTGTGTCAACTCTGCAGAATAAGTGGTGTCATATCTGGTGTTGATCATTGAGCTCATTTAAGTGACAGAATTGCCGTGCAGGATTTATTGTGGACGTCTTTTTTTTTTTTAATGCACAATATGGAACTGGTAACACTTTGTGATGTATGGACATTGGCTTTTGATCAGTGCAGTGACTCATCTTGGCATAAATAAAGAAAGGAGAAAGAGTTGAAGTGCGTGAGGGAGGGTGTCTGTCTCTTGGATGTTTCATTTCCTGATGTTGCACCAGTGGAAGTGGTGGGATTTTGAGGAATTTATTATTGCTTTTGCAGAGAGATCCGTCTCTGTCAGATGGAACAGATAAAAACACTGAAGTGGTGATTACAGTTTTAGAACATAATGACATCTTCATGCATGTTAGAGCTTTTGGAATGGGACCACTTTTTTTTTTGCTTTCAAATCAAATCAAATCAAAGTGGAGCCTTTGCATTTCAACAAAAAAAAAGCATTATAAGAATTTAAAAGAGCGTCATTCAGTGATGTATAAAGAAAAGCAGCGGACATATAGAAGATTAGAAGTCTTTGGATTCTTTACACCTGCAGTTATTGTGCGCTTCATCCCCCCACCCCTCCCTCCACCCTCCATCCTGCCACACTCTGCCACTTTTGTTCTCTAATCTCATTTACTTCTGCCTTTTCTGCAGGTTTTTCCTTAAATCCCACAACTAATGACAGAGGCTTATCCCATGCCACTCCGCTTTGCTCTCATTCTTTCTCTCCCCCCCCTCTTTTCTCCTCTTCATCCTTTTTTATGACAATAAGTCTGCCTTCATAAAGCTTTAAATATCTGTTCTCTTTTATACTATTTGTAGCATCTGCTTTTTTTAATACCGGGTTATCATCTGAGTGTTTTTTTGTGTGAGTGGGTGTATATGTGTTTTCAGTCTCGCAGGTGTGCATTTTGTCTGTCATCTTACCTATTCAGTCTTGTAATCCCAGGTCTCAGTCGTCTTTATAACCCCTCCACCCAAAACCCACCTTAACCTGCACAGTAACCCCTCCATTACCATACCATAGAACTATACTTTAACCCTTCATTTACCTCAGGTGTTCTCTGGGTGCAGAGGATGGTCAGACAAGGTGTGACATGATGGATATCGTTCATTGTTTTAGTTATTATGCTCTTATACAAAGACGCCTATAGTTTTTTCATCTTCTTACCTTTAAGTGAACTCAATCTCACCAGGAAAGGATTGTCACTTTCAGTTTTCTTACGTCTTTCATCTTTCTCTTATGAATGGAAACCTACACTTCATTTTGATCGTAAGCCTAAATGAGCCATTTTTCTTTTTAATCACTTTATTTTACATACTGGCCATCTTTCTTCTGTGTTTACTTCGGGACTGAGCAGGAGAACTTTGCCGATTCAACACATTTGTTGGAACAAAAAGGACAAAGACAGTTGGACTAAAACTTTGAAAAATGTTGGCAGTGCAGTGAGCATACAGACCTCTTTAAGCTGCTCCCCTTCTTCGTGTGTAGCTAATGCTCAAGGAAAATGAGCAAATAGCACAACCAAATTTGGAACCAAATTATTATTGGCAGGGTTGCATTGTGGGTGATGCAGCAAACAACCTTTAGTTGTGCTATATCAATAGGGAAATATCTAAGGGTGGACCACCTTAGAAATCTGATTGGCCACCCCTAAACTATGATTGCCTATGTGCCTATTTGGTAAGTGTTTCATCAGGCAGCTGGTAGCTATCTTTACATTTCAGGGGGCACATTTCCTTTTATTATACCATTGACGTCTGGACATACACCTCCATTATTAATTGAGCTAAGGAGATTTATATTTTGACGCTCTGTTTTGTTACTTTTTAAAGCTGACAAATTATACACAGGAATTAGCATAAATTGGACACTTCAGTGTTGGTCATTTAATTAGCTGAGACAGAAAAGGGAAATACATTTTTTTGACTTGTGACTGTACACAAACTTCAGGCCACCCCTGACTAAGTCAGTGTCCCAGTTGGGCCACCTAGTGAAAAATGTCAAGCCTGCTTGCACGACTATAGCCTCCATACATGGGCCGCGCACTAACCACTAGGCTACCGGCACCTGGAGAACATTTTTTAATTATTAAAATGTAATCTGCGCTGGTGTTTACAATACACTTTAGAAATATTTTTCCATGTATAGCCTTATTTGGCTTGGCACATCACTGGATGCATTTTGTTGTAGCAGCCAAAGACCAAACATCGGCTCAAATATTTAGATATATTTAGATAAAAAAGACAACAAGGGATACATAATGATATAAACTATGGGTTATGGATTCCAAATGAACATAGAGTGAGTCCTCATCAACTGTTACCCGTACATGTACAGTAAATGGTCCATGTTGTTGTCTTTGGTGATGCTAGTTTTTCATATGGGATGTTCCTGAGTTAGCTGTCACACTTTACATGGATGGATTGTTGCCCATGTGAATTTCCCACCTCTTGTCATGTGTATCTCCAACAAACTGCTGATGCAAGTTTAAACGCATTACTTCCTGTGTGTCTTTTTTTTTTTTTCCCCCAGGACACACAGAGACAGCGTAGAGAACATCATACATGTAATGGCTTTCACGCTGTAGTCACAGGTTGTGTTGTCTTCAATCATTTGACATCAGACAGCAGCAAAGTGGACATTTATTTAACCTAACAGCTCCTGTGGGTTCAAGGCGGGTCCACTGATTGCCTTGTGATGAATTGACCACGGAGGTAACTTTATGGTTAAGGTGGCTTCACACTGATCCACGGCCACACCTTAAAACCCATTAACCCTTATCTCAACCCTTTCTTGGCAGGAAAACCCATTAACCTTCCTCGTAACCCTTCCCTCGGCCTGAAATAACCACCAGGTCAGCAGAAAGTAGGTAACAAATGTGCAAGGCAGAGACTTGAGAAAAGTATGACACAATAACCGATGTGTCTGCAGACCACGGGATAAATACCTTCCATCGGACCGTCAGTGTTAGCTCGGTCTTAGCTGAAAGAAGCGTGGAGTGAAGTGACCAGTAAGACAAACAGCATAGAACTGATGAGGCCATAAGTATAAGGGTGTAAAACAGGGAGAGACTGGGCAGCAATGTCAGTTTTCCTTTGTTTGAAATATTTAATGAGTTTCTGCGCTCTCTTGAAATATTGACTTTTTCCCATATAGCCGGAGGGGACAGACGGGAGCGGAGGTGGTTCCCTCATTCAAATAGAAAGCAAAAGGCTGTTAGCATCAAACTTTCATCAGTTTCTTTTATTTATTTATTTTTTGTTTTCTTTTTTCGATCGTCCCGATTAAAAAAAAAAAAAAAAAAAGGAAACATGCTTGCCCTTGATTTGGAAGTCACGGCTAATAAAGGATGGAATGTGTGCTCATTTGTGCGTGTGTGTTTGTGTATGTGTGCATGTGCAGATTTATCCTACATATCCTATACTATATGGAAAGCCTTTTCTTGTTTATATTTGTGCAAGCAGCTCTTGGTCTATGTCTTTTTTTGCACCACATACTGTATATACAAATGTTTAACATTTGATTGTTTTCATGTGACCATTCACCAGGACAATGAGTAGAGATAATAGTTGACTTTCTTTGCAGATTTCCATAAGAGATCATTTTTACTGAATCTGATGTGCATTTCAAAATCATACACATTTAAAAGTGGCAATTTATTGGCTATGGGCATCGATGGGTGCCCTGTGAACAGCCATGCTACTCACCAGCATGCAGTAAACAAGAAACTGGGTTGTTTCACTGCTGAGTATGGTTTCATTTACAAAGTCAGTGAGGAAAGATTGCCCCCCGCCCTTTTTTTTTTTAAAGTTCCAAATTGTTGTGAAGTAGATAACACAATGGAACATATGGCATTTGTATCTGCATGCAACACCAGCCAGTGTCGTCAACCCTAAATCTCTGCTGCTGATGGTGATTCCTACATAATCACATTTCCTCTTAACCCCTTAGGTAAGTGCATGCATGATAAGAAATCTGCGAGAATTTTGAGTATGTAGGAGATGTAGGACACAATGTAAGATAATAGCTCTCTAGTTTTAGAGGTGTCATTTGATATTCGTAGATAACAGAAACCCAGTAATGGATGGATGGATGGATAACAAAAGAGTTCAGCCTGAGGTCAGGGAAGAGGGTTTCCCTGATTCATCACTTTGTTAAAAAAAGGTAGATAATGGACGTTACTCAGATAGCAAAGACAACACCTTAACTGATGGTCATGCTCACCCTTTTAAGATGAAGAGGCCTTAAACGGATGGCGGGAAAATGCACCAATAATAAATCAGGATGGCAGATTTATTAGAATGTGAAAGAGCAGTGAAGCCAGACTCTGACAGGTGTAGGGACATGTTCAAGAATGCATTAGATGGAATTCTAACTTCCTGTACGAGAGTCTGCAAAGAAGGGGAAATTTAAAAGCTCAGACTAAAGAATCATTTTCACTGAATGAGGTCTGTACTGGTAAGAGAAGAAAGCACAATTGAGTCATAGTCAAATCTTGAAAGCAAACAGGATGCCAAGAGAGGCGAATACAAATCTTATAATAAACCTTTTTCACCTTTTGACTCTTTCCCACTTTCCAAGTCCTGATCACAGACTGTATGGGGACAAATTAGCAATCTAGCAGCTGGCTAAGATGTTTTGTGGGTGGTCCTTTAGCTTCTTGGGCAACAGCTACAACTCAATCACCTGTCAGGCAACTTAGCCACGCCCCTAATTATTCAAATTGATGCTAAACTCTTGGCCTAAGTATCATTAAAGTGGACGACTAACACCAAAAAAAGGTTTTTACCAGTGAAGATTGAGATATTTAGACCACATTCATTTTTGAACCAGGCTGTTAACAGGTTTGTTTCTGCTGTAAAGAGCTTTTTAACATGGCATCTAATGAGACTCCTGAGCTTTTCCAGGTTACTGCTTGGTCCTGATCCGAGCTAACGCTAGACTTTATTTTGAAGGCCAATATGGCTGTTAACATGCAGATTTATGGCTGTATAGAACAACTCCTGGACATAGCTATTAATGGCCATGCATGCCTTATAACCTACATTTAGCATAAAATCCCCCCAAGAAAAAAGCTTCACTCTGCCCGATGTGCGACTCTTTAAGTCAGCTCAGTATGCAACCTGCAGCAAGGATAAAATATGTAAGTCCTGTAACAATACCTAGTTAGCTGTATACATTTTGAATTGTTGTCATTTTGAAACCTTGGAGTGGTGTCCAGTTCTTTATTACATAAATAGTTTAGTGACGATGTCTGACTGGATGTGTAGATGGAGTGAGTTCAGCAGAAGTGATGATCAGTAGTGAGATGTCGTCAGATTAAGCCTGAGACCCAAACCAGAGGCCTGAGGTTTGTTAGTGTGACATAACTGCACAGATGTTTTAGAGGCAGAGTGATGATGGCTTCATGTCATCAGATAACAGCTGATCACTTTAACATGCAGAAGGATTGAAGTAAACATTAGAGCGAGGACAACTGGTCTCATCTTATTAGTTTATCAGTGGATTGTGTGTGTGTGTGTGTGTGTGTGTGTGTGTGTGTGTGTGTGTGTGTGTGTGTGTGTGTGTGTGTGTGTGTGTGAGAATGGATGGGCATCGTTTGGGATCCGGTCGATGTTCGTTTGGCCTTTTTAAAGGCTGGTCAAAAAAGAATTATTCAGTAGATGCCCTTTCTTTGTTGTTTTCTGTCTTTCAGTTCAAATACTCCACCAAAGTGAAATGCTGAATTGACACAAACTTGAGTAACAAAGTGCTTTCAGATTTTTTGTACAGAAACAAACCCCTTGTTAACAGTTTTTAAATCCTTGTAAAAGAAGAAACATGTTTTTGTCGTGCACGAGAGGATAAAAAAAACGTAGTGGACAGGATTTGTTCTGATTTCTTTGGCACATGACAGTTCCACACTCCCTGCTTGATTTGGAAAAGTCTCCTGCTTCTCCTCATTTATAATGTGTATACCAAATGCTATCATCACACTCACACCCTTCTGCAACAGGGATTTCAAGGATACTGTGACTGTTGATAGGGTTGAAAATCTGAATCCTTTGACACATTCAATCCTTTTCTTCTTCTATTTTTTTTTTATCAGTTTATGAACCAAAAGTTTTCCATAACTTCATATTTAATGACAAGAAGAAAGTGATGTTTGGATAAATGAGTGGCCATTTATCTAAAATTATGTTTTATGTGGAAACATTATTTATGAAAAACATGAAGAAGGAATGCTCCTTACAGGTTTTCATTCATAAATCTACGTTTAAAGAGCAACTGATGGGTTGGGACTCAAAAGTTGGTTGAGGAACTGTTTTCAGTGGGTCGTGAATGTGTACTAGAACAACAAAGTATCAAAAAGTAGTGTAGAATACTCAACATTGGTCTTGGTCTCAAAACCACTTTTTGAAGGTCTCAGACTCGTCTCCGAATTGAAAGCATTTTTACTCTGCCATGTCTCTGTCTCAGACTGGACGGACTCCCAATTTTTATTGGTCTTGACTCGGTCTCGATCCCTAAATGTCTTGGTCTTGTCTTGGTCTCAGAGCACTCTGGTCTGGTCTTGACTCCAAAACGTCTTTGCAGGGCTTTCAAACCTATTCTTTTACGTTTTGCACCATCTGAGGTCCAAACTGCACAATTATTCATTAAACTAATCTCATTGGTTGAAAATCAGAAATTTGTGGTCATGATTTGTCATTAAGGAGTTGGTGGTGGGTCTTAAGGGGGGTCCAGTTGGGAACCACTGATGTAAACCAAAAACTATTATGCATTAATAAACCCAAACGTAACATTCTGTTTAGAAGAGCATAAAGACATTTTACATGACAGGACTTTAAAAAAGAAGTAAAACACACATTATATTTATATAGGACGATGTTGCACCCATGATGACTTACAATAGCCAATCTTTTACCTGAAGATTTCTCAAATGCTCTCTTTGTGCTCCACTCTTTACTTCCTTCCCTCCACTCCCCCTTCTTTGACACATACACACACACACACCGACACACACCGACACACACACATACACACACAAACATGCACACAACCCTCCTGTCCTTCCTAATTTCTTCTTTCCCCCTTTAATTCTCAGGTCTGTCCTGCACTGTCGCAGATCAGCCTGTCTTTTGCTGGGCTGACCTGTAATTGCACTCCCGATATTATTTCTTTTAGTAGACGTGTGTGTGTGTATGTATGTGGCTGTGTGAGTGTGTGTGAGTTTGGACTCTGAGCTGTCCTGTCACCTTGGGCGGTCATGCAGTATTGAAGGTGAGGTGGAATTAGGAGGCTTTACAAAGAAAGATACGAAAATAACGAGATTCTGGCTGTCCCTGTCTCACACACACACACACACACACACACACACACACACACACACACACACACACACACACACACACACACAATATATAACACACATACAAGAACACTTATAGTTTCAGAAACTGTCTCTTTCTCTCTGCGCACACACACACACACACACACACACACACACACACACACACACACACACACACACACACACACACACACACACACAGTGTCCCAGAGGAGCGCTGGAGGGGCTTATGCAGGGGATTTTGCTGTTCTGCAGTGTGCCTGTCAGATAAGGAGGAGACACAGGCCTGCCTGGTGACACGCTACTGAGCGTGTGCAGAACAACATCCTCTCCTCTCCCCTTTTTTAACCCGTCACTCACGACACCTGCCACTCTCTATTGCCATTGATGATGACACCAGACACACAGGGACTTGTCTGGTAGATCATTTGGTAAAATCATGAACATTGCACTTACACACGGCCAGGCACACACTGGATGAGTTTCCTTTTACCTCCTCTTTGTCTGTCAGGTAGTTTGGCAGGAAGCAGCTTTCTGTAATGAGAGGAACACTGAGGAGACCTGGACACCCAGAAAACTGCTTCTTGAATATCCATCAGACTGATGATGTTTATTTTAAATCTGTGATGGCTGTAATGAAGTTAAAATGGGTAAATGATTCATATTTACTGGCAAACACATTTGCATTTTCCTTCATTCCTTTGTTACTGTTTCCTCCTTCTTTCCTTTGGTTATTTTTTATATTCTTCTCATCCTTCCAGCTTCCTGAACAAACCTCAGCTCATCTGTATTCGTCCTCCCTTTCCCCCGTCTTTCTCCCTTCTTGG